TTTGCTTCAAGCTCGTTCATGAGTAATATTGGAGAGCGGTCTGATTTTACTACAGTTAAGTGCCGGAGTGTCGCGAAAGGGAACATGTTGCACCACTCGTTGGACGCAAGAACACGGTCCAAACATAGACGGCAGTACTGGCCCCTGCCACCTTCTTCTCAAAGGTCCAATCCATACCAACATAGCCAATATCAGTTAGTTCACAAGCATCCACGACGTCCCTAAATAGCTGAATTCATGACCAAGCTTGGTCGTTAGATCCCATGTGCTCTTCCCTTCGAAAAACTTCATTAAAATCACCATTGCACATTTACATGATCGTCTTCTTCTTCTTCTTGATCAACAACCAAACTCTTCTTCCTCGGAGCTTCATGAGCTTCCCGATTCTTCCACTTCTCCTCATCCTTGAGCTCTTTGTAGCAATGATGAAAAATGAAGGTTTTTCCCGACGGTGGCGGTGTCGGGAAAGGTGGGAGCCCAGGCGGCGGCCATGGCGAGGTGCGTTAGGCCGGCGGCAGCTATTGGGAGGCAAGAGGGCGGGCGGGTGGTGGGAAGTTCCCCTTGGCAGTTGGGCGTCCACGCGGCTGCTGGTTGTTTACATCATGCGCGGTCAAGCGATGTATATTTGCATCACTTGGTGGTGCATTTTACATCAGATGTAAAATCTAAGGTTTTTTTTTTTTTGCATCTGCATCATTTGTTGGAGGGACGTTTTTTAACCAAAGTGACGTATATTTCTGTATTTTTTTTTAGGAGACGCACCCATGGAGCTGCCAAGAATGAATGTGTTGGAATACTTAAAATTTCATGTGAGGATATAAGAAACACACCCGTGGGCCTCTGGGCCTGTCAAAAATGATGATTACTCTCAAATGACACACCCACGTGTGTAAAGAGCCCCAAGCCGAGCGAGGCAGCAAAGAGAGAGGAAGACAGCCATGTGATGATTGACCGGTCAACTCCTGGGAAGTCCTTAGTTTGCCGGGCCCACAGGAAATGATTTGTCTGAGACCTGGGAGAGAGAGAGGGTGGTGCATGGCAGCATCCAATTCTGGGGAGTGCATGCATGCTTGCTTGTTGCTTGGCAGCAAAAGGCAGGCTAATTTTGGTACCAAAACGCATGCAAGTTTAAGACAAGCGCGCAGTAAGTTTGATCCATTCCACTGCATACGGCCGGCCACGATCGAGACAAAGCGCAGCAAGCAAGGAGAGGAGATCGATCATCCATTGATGGCGCCCGGCGGGCTTGTGCTCCTCGGCCTCCTTCTCCTAGTGCTAGTGGACGCGCTTGCCGCCGTCCACATCGACATCGCGGCCGCCCTCTTCCACTCGCACGACCACCTCGGCGGCAACAAGCAGCACAAGGACAAGTCTTCTTCTTCCTCCTCCGTGCCTTCATGGCCGGACGGCAACGCCGCGACCTACCTTCCGCCGAAGCAGAAGGAGAAGGCTTCTCCTTCTTGGCCAGACGCTAACGCCGCGGATTTCTTCGCGGAGGCGGCCAAGAAGGGGCTGCGGTCCTTTACCGGCGGGCGGGGCGGCTACAAGACGATGACGACGGAGTTCCTGGACGCGCACAACCGGGTGCGGGCCAAGTACGGCGTGCCGCCGCTGCGGTGGAGCAATAAGCTGGCGCGGTACGCGCGGCGGTGGTCGGACGCGCGGCGGTTCGACTGCGTGATGATGCACTCGGTGGGTTCACCCTACGGCGAGAACGTGTTCTGGGGCACCGGGTGGGACTGGAAGGCCGTGGAGGCCGTGGGCGACTGGGCCAGCGAGTCCTCCTTCTACGACTGGCGGGCGCAGGCCTGCCACCCGGGCCAGGTCTGCGAGCACTTCACGCAGATCGTCTGGCGGACCACCAAGTACGTCGGCTGCGGCCGGGCCGAGTGCCTCGCCGGCGGCGTCTTCATCACCTGCTCCTACGACCCGCCCGGGAACTGGAAGGGAGAGGTGCCGCTCACCTAATTATAATTAATTAATAGTAGAAGCCCATTTGCCTCTTTATATTGGGCTGGGCTGGGCTGGGCTTGGACTACACCTCTAATTTTCATTTTCTTTTTTTATTAGCCAGCTAGCTTGTCTTAATTTACTCGACTTTTTTTACTTAATTTACTCGATTTGGGACTAGCATTTTTTGATCTGCCAGGCTCTACACTGTGTAATATCTTTGGCCCGCGACACTCAATTTTAGCTTTCAGTACTCTACGCATACTTTTTACATCACACAATCTCACCATGCTATGGATATAGGCATTATCTTCAACAATATACGAAAATGATGCACTTCAATTCCTTGCTCAACTAAAAACAACCCTTGTTTTTTTCCTTTTGAGTTCCAGTACACACCATAGGCTAGAAGCCCAAAGACAACACCTTTTTTCTTAAAAAAGACATGTCATTTTCGTTAATTAAGGAGAGAGTGGGAATTGGCTAGTTAATTTGCGGCTAGAGCACCAAGTACATGGATTGTAGCTAGGCTGAGTGCCACGCAGGCATCGTCTTCATCACTTGATCCTATGGCGTGACATGAAACTGTAAGGGCGAGGTGTGCTCACGGGACCTTCTATTTGACGCTCTATTCGTCAAATATGGGCGTGATGCATAGAGTGCATCCTGACTGGGCCGACCCATTGCCTGCAACATTGTCGCGATGTGCGCATTGTGCCAAAAGTTTTTTCCTAGCGTTTTTTGTTTATTTAATGCGTTATTTATTTAGTTTTAGAAAAAAATATTTTAAAAAGAAAACATTTTAAAAATAGCTAACTATTTGAAAATGCTTGTCAAAAAATTTAAAATGTCTGCGAAAATTTTAAATAAACACCGATATTTAAAAAATAGAATATTTTTCAAACTTTTGAACATTTTTTAGAAGCTGCAGACATTTTTTGAATACCAGAAAATTTTAAACATATACTGAAATTAAAAAAAACGAATTTCCAAAACTGCAAATTCAGACAGTCCCAAAACCAGGATTTAAGCTAATTGGGCGCCCATATCTGTGCAAATCCTGGGCATTTTGATGCAGTGAGCGTCAAATTGCCGCCCCTCAATCCATCCATTATTTCGTTTTTATATTGGGCCGGGCTCTCGTCCCCTTCCTTGGTATTAGCAACGAACTAACTTGTTATACTTAACTCGATTTGAGCCTAACAAGCTCACAATTCTCTGTAATATATCCTTTAGGGCACAAGTTTTTTTTTTTTTTTTGAGAAACACACACTTCATTCCTAGGTCACACCGAAGCGATGATTCCCCGGATTTTCTAGTTGAGGATTTTTGGTGAACGATGTAACCTTGTTACCAGTTCTTTTTTTTTCCGAGGGGACCTTGTTACCAGTTCAATGAAGTAGGCATGATGACATTCCCTAAAAAAACAGGAGGCGAAGCCAATGCCTCGTAACCAATGCGCGGAAAAGTCTGGAATAATCCAGGACCACAAGAGCCTAACCATCTGAACTATGCTCGTTTCGCCATAACATATATAGGCATTATCAACAACACAAAAAGATGATATTTTCATTGTTCCAGCACCACCAATAAGCAGAGAAGCCTCAGGGGCAACAACAGACTCCATTCAGCACAGAGACCATACATAGAGCCAGTTGAGGGTAGGACAAGAATCAACAAAATGAACCAAGCATATATATATTTATATCAGTAGGTAAAGTAAGTTATTCCATGACCGACAAGATATCTATATATATATTTCTACAAGGCAAGGGAACCAACCTTATTTCTTCTACTTACTCCATAAGGGAGATGGATATGATTAGCTTTCTAACGCGAACAATATAATTAATTATAAGCTACTGATGGATCCGACTCACTCACTCCCTCCCTATACACATCAGTAGTAGTCTTCCTCTTCTTCTCTCTGCTCTCTGTGGTGGATAAATATATAGATGGATGGTGGTGTATATATGCTACTGCTACTGGCTCTGGGGTCTATGAATCAGTGGCCGTTGTCGGTGGATCCGTAGCCGTAGGGGTTCTTGCTGGCCCAGTTCCACAGGTCTCTGCACATCTCCTCCACCCCATACTTGGCCCTGTTCATTTTCATCACATCATTCTCATTATTATTGCCTTGTGTTGTTTTACACCATGCATCACAACCAAACTCTCAAGAAAAGATACAACTTATTAGCAATCAAAACATAGAGTAACTTACTTCCACTTGAGCTCCTTCTCAGCTTTGGCGGTGGCAGCGTACACAGTCTCGGCATCTCCAGCTCTTCTTCCAGCATAAACCAGAGGGATTTTCTGTAAAAGTGTTAGTGTTAGCACTGTGATCAGCAGAACAAGAGCATAATTATATATGCACGTGAGATGATGATTGGTTTACCTTTCCGCAAGCCTTCTCGAATGCAGCAACCATTTCCAGCACGGACGTCCCCTTTCCAGTGCCCAGATTGTACACCTCGCACCCTGCAATCAAGCGCAAATCATTACATTGGTTCGTTAACAGCAACATTATTCAGTTAAGCATAATAAGATCATTCAGTGTCAGCTGTCATGTTCATGGTTGGTGCGCACCTATTCTGTCAGAATCTTCGTAGAGCTTCCTCAGGGCGGCGATGTGGCCGTCAGCCAGGTCAACAACATGGATGTAGTCACGTACCTGCCATAATCATGTGTTGCATACCAATACTAGTTAGTTAGAGGCAGCAAGCAAGACAATTATGCAGGAATGATTGATTGATTTGATTCATCAGTCGGTTGGTTAGTTAGTTAAGGGTTGGATGCATGACAACATACCCCTGTTCCATCCTTGGTGTTGTAGTCGGTCCCGTAAACCGTCAGCGCGGGCCGCCTCCCGACAGCGACTTGCTGGACATAGGGCATCAGGTTGTTGGGGACTCCGAGGGGGTCTTCCCCGATGTAGCCACTCGGGTGCGCGCCGACCGGGTTGAAGTACCTCAGCAGGATGATCTTCCAGTCGGGGTCCGAGCGCTGGAGGTCGCGGCAGATGTCTTCAATGACAAGCTGCACACAAGCACACAATCATCGACAGGCGCCAGATCAGATTCTCTCGATGTACTTGAAACATTGATTGACAGGCAACAGAAAACAAGTAGCAATGGCACGTACCTTAGTTCGGCCGTAAGGGTTGGTCGCGGAGAGCGGGAACTCCTCAGTGCAGGGCACCTCCTTGGGCCACCCGTACACAGTGGCTGATGATGAGAACACAAGCTGCAGGGATGAAATGAAAGGTGTTTTCATTAGCATCCAGATGAGATGATGATGATGACGACAATCATTCGATTCGATGATGTATACTTAATCATATGCCTATACTACTAGTACTAGTTCCTTCAGCAAGGTGCCAGCATAATTAATCGGTGCAGAGCAGCTTCATTAATTGATGGTGCAGAACAGAGTTGAATGGCCTGCAGTGCAGTGTGCCGCCGTCCTTAAGCCTAACTTATTCAGACCCAGCAGAGAACCAACTGTAATGAAACTGTCTGCGTCCGTCCGTGGTTCTAAAACTCAAATAATGAAGGGAGCACCAACTGTAATGAAACTGTCTGCATCCGTGGTTGTAAACTTATTTAAATTAATACAGCTTCATTGGTTACTGCAGAACAAGTAGGTGCGTAGCAATGGGCTGCTTGCTTGAGCCTGCACACGCCAGCATGCTGCTGTCTATTGTTCAGAATTGAGAGAGTAAACAAAGACCAGCTGTTAAATCCTTTGTTTCTTTTTGACAAATCCTACAGACAGACAGACAGACAGAGGGTAGATAGAAACAAGGACCAGCTGTAATGAAACAGTTTGCATCTGTCCCTCTCATTGCTGTAGTCGAGAGAGAATGCCAAGGCCATTGCTGTAGTATTGCCTAGTGCAGAACAAGCAATGGGCCTGAACCTAGGCCACACCGTCCATTATTCAGACATGCCAAGTGTTAAAACCCTTGTGTGTGTGTGTGTGTGTGTGTTTTCTAGAATTCCTAGACAGAACATATAGAGGCAGCAACAGAAAATGGTGCTAGGCAACAAGAGAGGCAGCGCAAGCAAGCAAGCAATCTGGGACCATGAACTAGGTGACAGAAATTATGAGAGACACCTGGTCCAGACAGCCGAGCTAGCTAGAGCCAACGCTCGCTCGCTCGCTCGCTCATTGGTATCCTGTGACCCAGCAATGCAATGAAATGCAAAAGAAAAAGAAAAAAAGAAGAAAAAGCAGGTATACCTTGTTGCATCCATGTGCTGCCATGACTTGGAGGAGGGTGATGGTGCCGATGAGGTTGTTGTCGTAGTAAAGCAGGGGCTTCTGCACGCTCTCCCCCACGGCTTTCAGCCCGGCAAAGTGGATCACAGCCTCGAACCTGCTCGACCCAGCCGAATTTAAATTGGAGACCAGGCAGATGATGAGCGACTTGGAGCATAAAACAAACAAACGCTGCTAGTTTATTCATCAGTTCTAAGTAATACTATTACTGTGATGATGATGATTATGATGCTCTGTTGGACAAGTGTGAATGATGGAATATGGAAGAGCATAACCGCCGGGTCCAGCTGTGGATAGCTTGGCTTGCTTGCTAGAGACAACTTTCCAGCCAGCCCGACTCATCAATGGATGGATGGATGAATGAGCAATCAGAGGCTACTACTAGGAGCAGATGACACCTACCGGCCTTAATCAACAACCAACGAAACGATGCACAAGCAGAATGAAAGAGACTAGGATAGTAGTGGCATCGCAGATACGGCCGGAGGGGACGGGCTAATCAACCATTTCTGGATTTGTTAATTAAGCCGAAAAAAGATGGACTATCTAGCGGTTGGAGGTTGTATGGCACCATGTGACTGACTGACGACGACGGGTACTAGGCTGTACTTCCTCCGTTCGGAATTACTTGTCGCGAAGATGGATGTATCTAGACGTATTTTAGTTCTAGATACATCCATTTCCGAGACAAGTAATTCCGAACGGAGGGAGTAGCACGTACCACGTACTACTAGTATAGTGCAGATATTGATATACGTACTGGTGAAGAAAGAAAATATAGATACCTTTGGGTCGAGAAGATTTCGTCCAGCGCCTCCTTGTCACGAAGGTCCACCTGCACGCACGCACAATTTCATTGCAGCAAAAATAAATCAATCCATCAGAAATCCGTTTTCTTTTCTTGGGTATGAATTCATTCCATTCGATTCCAAAACAATGACACGGGAAATTGCGGCTGGCGGTATGGTTAGGCATGTATGTATGTAAGGTATATGCTCCTCTAAACTAGTGTAATCTAATCTAATTAATTGTGTTTAAAAAATATAATCTGATGAATCCGTGGTCGAATCAGCAAGCAATCAAGGAAGGAAGGAAGCATCGTCAATCACGCGTTGGAGTTAGAGTTAGGCTTGGGTGGGTTGCCGCGATGTATGGTATGGATGGAGACCCACCGGCCGGAGACACGCGTTTTCCCCCTCCCTTGCCGTCGTCGTTTGCTTGGTCAGTCACATGTGGCGCGCCACGCCCGCGGAGGCGGAGACGGAAGGAAAATGTAAGGAAAGTAACCGACTAGGCATGCACAAACAAACAAAAGAAGAAGAAAAAAAGGCACGGGCGCGCAGGGTGTGACCCGCCGGCCCGCCGCTCTCTCGCTCGCTCGCCGGCCGGAATCGCGCGGCTGACCGACAACCGAGAAAGAGAAAACACACTCCTTGTTTTACATGTCTAGGGAGACATGGCGTAGAATGGATTCCTTTGTTTCTCGAGTGGGCGAGGAGGAAGGCCCAATTGTAGGAGTAATAATAATAACTCAACCATCAAAAAAATAAAAAATACAAGAGAGCAGCAATTGTTGGGAGGTTCCTTCTTTCTTCTTTCTTCTTTCTAGACCAGATAGAGTGCCTTGTGTTTGAAACCGCCACGCCACGCCCTCCCCTCAAACCGGACAAACTCCCCAAAACATTTTTTCTTTTTTTTAAAAAAAAAACAGAATTCTACTACTAGTACTACTCGTAGTTGCTTATACTATACTTATGAGAAAGAAGAATAGGATGCACCCACGATTAATTCAATTCCTCCTCAAGACAAGGCAAGGCAAGGCAAGGCAAGGGAATCAACCAAACAAACCAAGGAAAGCGCAATCCAATCTACTGTATGTATGTCCTCCCAAGCAGAGCAGGGCCGGCCGGAGAACAAGGAGGAGATTGGCCGGATATCATGGATGGATCGGAACGGAAACAGAGAGGGAAGGGAAGGGAAGAAAGAAGAAGCAACGAACCTTGCGGAAGTCGAGGCTGTTTTGCGGGGCGTTGGCGAGTTGCCGGACGCGGCGGATGGCCTCCTCGGAGGCGTTGTCGAGGCTGTCGACGACGAGGACGCGGAAGCCCTGGAGCAGCAGCTGCAGCACCGTGTGGCTGCCGATGTACCCCGCGCCGCCCGTCACCAGGATCGTCCGAAGCACCGCAGACACCATCTTCTTCTTCCTCTGATTCCTCTTCTTCTTCTTCTAACTTGTAATTCGACCGACGGGGCGAGATTGGAATGGGAGACAAGAGCGGTTTGTTTGTTTGTTTGTGAGAGAGGGAGAGAGAGGGGGACTTGTGCGTCTCTTCTTCTTGTTTGCAGAGAGGAGAGGAGAGAGGCAGATATATATGGAGGACAGGGGAGGGAGGCCAGACGGGTCGGGGGTGTCTTTGTCTCTGGCTGTGGGTCCCACCACATCGAGGCGGAGGCGGAGGCATCTCGACTCGACTCAACGCGCGACGGACGATTCCTGATTCCTCCAACCAAACCAAACCAAACCACCGGCCACGTTCGCATATCCTTCTCCAGGAACCCCTCTTTCTCTCTGCTATCGCTATGGGCCGTACACGTGTACCACACCCCATCCGCCATGGATTACGGATAATTTCACATATTTGACCTGAGGCCTAAATCAATTCACAAACTGACCTACTTTCAAAAAAAATCACTCTGCTGACCCTTTCGTGTGGCGCCCGACAGCTGGGCGCCGCACCCTACTGTGCAGCGCCCATCACTTAGGCGTTGCACATCCTGCCAGCGTGGCAGCCCTGGCCCCACAGACAGCACTGCAGCGCCTAAGACTTAGGCGCCGCACAGTGTATATTGTAGCGCCCGTGTCTTAGGCGCTGCACGTTGACTTAGCCCGCATCGGGCCAGACCCTCCCAGGCAGTTCTTTCAGTTGCTCTGTTGTCACAGAGAGCGGCGGCGGCGGCGCCCCCTTCGGATCCCCCCCACACCCCCTCTCAGATTTGAAGTTTTGAGGCTTGGATTCGATCTCCAATCCTTCCTAGCACGTAAACTCCTCCGTTCCCTTTCTTTTCCTCCGTAAAATCGTTCGGTGTTCCAGATTAAGTTTTTTGATGTAATATCGCAATTGGAGATGATAAGTCATCCATCTCAGGAGCCATTTCCTGGTCTGACCTTCAAATGTGGAATCCTTTTCTCATCAATGGCAAGTACTTTGAAAACAACTATCAAAATTTTATTTAGTTTTACAAGTATGCAGAGAGCCGACAAGGCAGCAATGCTATTGTTCAAATGTGGTCAAGGCAGGCTTTCGGTGTTTCAGAATGAGCACACATTCATTGCAACCAAAAGAATTGGTAGTCATATCCGGTAGTATATGATTCTTGTTGTGATGGAGGATGTGTAGTCATATCCGGTGTTCATATCCGGTGTTCATATCCGGTGTTCATTCGTTAGGTGGAAACTCTTTCGGTGTTGTGATGGAGGATGTGTAGTCATATCCGGTAGTATATGATTCTTGTTAGTTAAACCTAGATTGTTTATTTTTTTAGATATATATGAGATGCCTAGTTTTGTAGATAATTATGAGATGTTGAGTTTTGTAGCTATATGTGAGATGTTGAGTTTTTTTAGATATATATTAGATGTTGAGTGTTTTCCGATATTTGAGATGAACTCATGTATGTTTATTGTTTGAAATTGTAAGGATGGTTTGGCTTCTGGACGATGTCTACGAGGTGCAACACCGGTCCTACATGATGCGCGAGAAGGATAAGGTAATAATGAGTACTCTAAATCTTTTGCAAATTTGCCTTTAGTTGAAATTTACATGCCCTAAGATTTGTCATTACTTGTTTTTTGCAGAAGCTTGAACCTCTGAAGATTCGGTATCACGGGGTCTCTGGTCCTGCCATGCCTTACGATGAGCGGTACACACCGTACATCAAGCAGGCAGGACTACTCCCGTGGATTCTGTTGGTCAGCCGGTCCACGCCGAATCTGAACGCTCCACTGGTGTCCGCTCTTGTTGATCGGTGGAGGCCAGAGACCCACAGTTTCCATCTTCGGACCGGGGAGATGACTGTGATGCTCGAGGATGTCTCGTTGATCACCGGTCTTGCTATCGACGGGAGGCCTCTATGTATGAGCACCGATTCTGATGGGTGGCGCGAGCAGATGATTGCTCTTATCGGTATGGCTCCTACCGAGGCCGAGGATGATGTAGAGGAGGGAGAAGAGAAGAAGAAGAGGGAAAGGAAGGCAGCTGGAGCTGCTTTCACGTGGATTCAAAATAACTTTGCGACGTGCCCTCCGGATGCAACTGATGATGTGATCCAGACACATGCTCGTGTGTATATGTGGTACATTGTGTCGAGGACTTTGTTTCCTGACTCCACTGGCAAGAACGCTCCATGGATGTGGCTGAAGGCGTTGACCGTCTTCGATAGCAAATGGAGCTGGGGTTCAGCGACTCTTGCCTACTTGTACCGACAGGTAGTTGGTCTGTTTTGTGATCAACTCATTTATTCATTAGCAACGCAAGCTTGCTGTCAAGTTAACATTGTTTTTCTTTCATATGTAGCTGGATGATGCGTGTTGCAGGATCACACCTAGTGCAGGCATTGGTGGTAATCTGCTTCTACTTTCTGTATGGAGCTGGGAGCGTCTGCCTGTTGGACGCCCGAAGAGCGTCAGGTTTGATCCTTGGTATGCAGATGAACATGACGAATTACGGCGCCCCACGTGGGCTTACAAGTGGGATATCGTTTCCGAGATGACGAACGATGTCAATCTCATGTACCAAAAGTACATTGCCGAGTTGGACACGATTACGCCTGAGCAGGTAAGGAGGTCATTACTTTAGTCCTTTCTCATGCTTGCTTGAAAAATAGTTATCAAATTTGCATTGTTGCCCTGTTTCATAGGTGGAATGGCAGCCATATGGCGCGGGTGAGAGCTTGGGGTACACCGCAGAGTTCCGCCTCAACCCGATGTGCTTGCGGGATAAGGATCTCTGGCTTATGCGGTGCCCATTGATATGCAACTGGGCGGTTGAGTTTCATTTGCCGCATCGCGTGTATCGTCAGTTTGGTCTTTTCCAGCCTCACCCGCCGGATTGGGTGGACACGGATAAAGCACTTCATAGGTAAGAGAGCATGTGTGCGTATTGTCTAATCATCGGGACTCCTTTTGATTGTGCTAATGTTTGGTTTTATACCACGCAGGTTGGACAGGAGAAGGCAACGGAAGATAAAGGACTGGGCCAAGCATCATTCTGCGTATGTTACCCGCTTCTAACTTTGTGTGGAGCAAGCTCGTAGCACTGCACGCGCCCCGCTTCGTGAGCACAACTCACTTGCTTTTGATAACTACGTACGATGGTTTATTGGAACTACTCGAGTTGAGATATGCCCGCCGACATATAATGAGGATATTCTTGAAGAACCCGTAAACTTTGAGGATCTAGCAAAGGGGAAGTACAACAGAGATGTCAGGCTAGGGCAAGGAGTGCCTGCTTTTCCGGTGATTAACTATGTGGTAAAGTGTTTCCCTCTTTACTTTCCTGTTGACCGTATTACACATGTTTGAATGGCTAACACATTCATTTTTTCTCATCCGCAGCGCACCGAGATCAAGAAAGCAGCTGATGAGAGCCAGTCTATTCTGGAGAATACACCGGTTGACGCAAGAACCACTCACAGTTATCATTGTTCTCCACCTCAACCAAAGCGAAAGTCAAAGGCAACACCCGGTTATTGGCATCACTTGCTATTGCAACCAATAAAGTGCCCTTGTATTGTCCGGTCAAGAACGTGCCATCAATGGCAATGACGGGCCGACAATGCTCAAAAGCCCTCACGCATTGCTCAAAGGCCCAAAATGCACGGCCAAATACTCGGACGGTCCTCCCGTTATGAATCAAAGTTTGGTGCCCATGAGGCTCAACCACGTGAACCATGCCTGGGTTTGTGGCGGCCATAGCTAACAACAACCTAGGGAGTCGGTTGTATGCTTCCTCCCAATTGCCATAGAACATCTTGAATGCGGCTTGCTTCGCCTTCCATGCCTTGCCGTACTTCACCTTGTAATGAAAGATGGCTTTCACAAGGTCAATGACACTCTTGATGCTCATTATTGGAAGTGTGGATATTTGGTTGGACAGCCTGTAAGCAATGAACTCGGACTTGAGTTGTCTGTGTTGTTGGTGCACAAGCTTGCCATCCGCATTCTTGTGCCGGCACATGTGAGTTGGTAGACAACTCACTATGCGCCAAGTGGGACCTCCTTTCCATGGCCTTGCACGCATAATCCATGGACATGTTGGCACTTCACATTTGACCGTGTAACGCACATTAACATCCGAGTTGGCCACTTTATGTGGACGATAATGTGTAACCGAGTAGTTGTCGAGCCACATCTTCAATTCCAAGAAGGATTGAAACTCACAACCGGGATATATCCCGTTCTTGCTGTCTTCCAAATCACGGTGAGAACTTGGCCTAGCTCCAAGAGATATGCATTTGCCACCATCCACAACGGCTTCATCCGCGAGACTAAGATCCTTGAACAATGGTGTCTTGTGATCCCGCCCGAATACCTTCTTGAATGCTTCGGCCTCCTTCGGCGTGAACCCCTCCTCATCAACTTCTTCATCGGGACCATCGTCATCCGAGTCCGATGCATATGCACGGGAAAAAGGGATGGATTGGTCCATTGTCTCTTGCACATGATATTGGTCGAGATCACCCACATTGTTGTCATGGAGGTCAACTTCGTTGTCATCCTCCTCGTACTCATCATTCTCCTCTTCAAAACCTTCATTTTGGTTGTTTGGAGTCGGGCTCAATGTTGGCCAATCTTGTTGCGTGAATTGAGGTTCACTCATTTGATCTTGGTTCATGGGTGGGGGAGTGCTAGCAACCAACGGGGAGGGGTTCCGGTTCAAGTCTAAATTCAAAGTAGACTCAACCTTCTTGGAGACAAATAACTCAAGAGCCTTGTCTAGAGATTCGGCAACCGTCTCCTTGTACGCAACCCAACGTTGCTCGGAGTTCACACGCATTGTCTTCCAACGGATGTGCATTCCAAAACCAACATTATGCCTTCCCTCGAACTCAACAACGTCACTTGGGTCCGTCCAATTCAAATCTTTCCTCACTTGTTCCAAAAGCTCCGCATAGCTAGGACTACTCTCAAACACC